TCTAAAGTTCCTTAGCGAGGACCGACCCTTTTTATACCATTTATTTACAATGCCACCTAGCGGCTCGCCAGTTGCGTTCCAACCGTACATTCTATGATGAATATTGTTCGTTTCTATCACCCCATAAAGTTTTGTCCACTTCCACTTGTTTGGTTCCCCCTGTACAGTAGATTTCTGCCATTAGTCTTTAAATTTACCTGATTTCGAAAGTGAGTTTGTATTTTGATTTCAAGACAGGTATGAGTGAAATGCTAGTACAGTTAACGTTCTTTATCACACTATCCGTTACAGAGACATTCCGTTACAGCGACCAATACAGAAAGCTCGCAATTGATATAATACATTATGTCACTTTTCTCTGTAGTGACCAGCTGTTAGAACATCTTTCTTCCATGGGACGAGAAGAGTAACGAGAGTAACGAGAGTAAAGTGCACAGTATGAAACAAATTTTTAATTTGCATTCGCATGAATTGTTAATTTCCTTATCACATCGAACAATATTTCGTTATAAGTATAAAACAAACAAACGAACGAACCAAAAGTTTTTGTAATAGGTAAAGAGCTTTTTCTTCTGGTAAAGAACAGAATAATAGGTAAAGAGCTTTTTCTTCTGATAAAGAACAGAATAATAAGTAAAGAAATTTTTCTTAAGTATGGAAATAAGTATTGAAATTAATGTATATCAGAAAGGTTGTAAATCGCTCAGTTCTAATGACTGAAAAAAAATCTCATGAAGTTGTAGGGTTTATATTTATTTTAACTAACATTTATTTTAAGTTTAAACTATCTTTCCTGTCAAGCCTTACTTTCCCCTGGAACTGCCAATGCCAGAGTATGTAAATTTTAGTAGAACGCGCAAGGATTCAAATTATCAGCGGAAGTATTCTGAGTTAAATAGAAAGGAAACGAGTTCGAGGTGTGCTGTTCTTACTTCACGACCGCGGAGGTAGTTAGCCAAAAATTGAAGAACCCCGCGTTTCGGCCTGTGTGCTTGCCTGGAAGAATTGTTAATCGTTCAAGTGATCTTCAAGTTTGCTGAATTAGCAGCGGTATTGTAAAACGCGGTGAGGTTAGTTACTTTTAGAGAGCCTCGTAGTTAGAGTCTTGTCATCAGTTTCTTTTCAGGTTATTATTTTTATTTTACCGCCGAGTTGGCGTAGTTTGTGACCGTCAAGAGCACGCACTTGTAATTTATTACGTGAATAAAAAGGGACTTAAACCCTTAACAAGACTCTGTCATTTATCCAGTTTCAACAGTCACATCTTGGTTGCGTGCAAGTTGGAGGCGCGCAACGCTACAAAGTAGGAAACTGAAAGTAAGAAATAAGAAGAACACAAAGGAATTTCAAATTTAGTTTAAGATCTTATATGGTATTAAACCGTTGTTGTAATAGTTATGAATATAATTATTTAGCCAAGCTTTGGGGTAAGGATGCTTGAGTACTTAACAAAGGATTGGATGATGGTGAGGGAGATTTGTTACTCTTACACCAAGCTAACTTATTATTTTTCGTATTTACGAAAAGATTTGATATGAAGTAATAATCAATGAAAAATTTAAGTGCTAGGGAAATACTTCAAGAAAAACTGAAAAATATTTGAAATTACCCCTTACATTAAACAAAGAAAAGTATAAATAGCTGACATTTTTTCACCAAAAATATGATTCTTATTTTTCGAATGTGGCTCCAAATATTCTTTGAACACATCACATATCATGGGGAAAATAAATTTCAGAAGTCTGAAATATGAAATAAAGATTTCTTTCTGCAGAACAAACATATCATCATTTTTACGATAAATATGGCGTCGAGTTAAAGACCTTTGACCATATTCTATTTTAATGAGCCAAAATTATCAGCCAAAATACATATAAAGCCATAACCAAATTGGAGTGTCAACTGCAATTAATTATGCCAACCAACAAATAAAACCAAAGTTTCATTCCATGATGCCATGCACCATTATTCAGGCGTCATGCCTGCTTTGAGTACATTAATTTTTCCAAAGTAAACTTACCGGTCACCCAAGACAACTGGTGAAGACCATCCAAAGAAACGGCTGGATGTTCAGAACAGGCAAGAAATCACCGGAAGGCGGACAACTTATCTACGAGCTTTTTAACAGCAACAAATTTATAAGCTGCTGGATTCAGAATTACCGCAACTGCTGGCATCAGACGTGCTCTCCAGTGGATCCTCGTTAAAGAATAGAGTGTACTCGTTCTATTTGCGAGGTCTCAAAAGAGTTCCGTATTGTTATTTTTCGTCAGTACTTCTTTTTCAGCGAATGAATAATTTGCCTGCCTTCCTTGGACGTGGTAGCTGTTTCTTTGCTCCTTCTCGCTCTTGTGACGTTGAATCTTTGAAACTGTGGATATGAGCGTATGTTGTTTTATACGTTTTATTTTACATTTGTTTTGCAATTATAAATGTATGGCGTATAACTGCTGCTATGATTTTAGTAAAAATCTCGGAGTGTTTTCATAAGTTTAATCGTCAAAATTTCACTTTCGTGAAGCTTATCACGCATATTCGGATTAATGTTCGTGCCATATTATCACTGTTTACATCGAGAAAATTACTCAAAGTACAATTAGCCTCTAATATAATCCATTTACTAACAAGGGAATTCAGGTCTACAATTTTTTTTATTGAGCTGAGAATAACTGAAAGTGTTACAAAGAATATAGCATTTTCTTGTCTCAATGTTTGCATTCCTTTTATTTTTAAAGTCTAAGATTTAAGATATGTATTGTGAATAATCTAATTATACCTATTGCTAACATTAAAAGTTACATATGAATAAATTTAAAATATTCGTTGTGAATAAGGTAAATTTATTCTCTTTGAAGATCATTTCTTGTGCAGGCAATACAATTAAGAGTGAACAGTTAGAAATGTGAAATTCCCCACACCAAATATGTAGAAACAAACTGGGTAAGTTCACTTTGAATTAAGCTGTGCATTGCTTATTATTATAGAACGTCTTTTTCATATAGACGGCAATAAAAAGTGCTAAGACTTCTATTATTTACATATATAATTATGCTTATATTCGATCTAACTTCGCACTGAAAATGTTCACAAGAAATGCACATGCTTTAATTATTTTGTGCAGGAAATTGCGTAGCAAAACATTGTCAAAGGGTGGCGAAGGTCATGTGAAATAACAGAAATACTACTGGAAGCCTATTGGTCCATTCTAGAGGTCACTTCCTCGGCGGCTATATAGATGTGCACTTACGAAATATGCCACCGAGACGAATCCGTGCCATTAGCCCAGCCAGCATCTTATACCACCTTCGTGCGCGAAGAATATGCAACGTTGGATAGAGTAGGTTTTGACTAGTAACATCTGACGGCCCACAAATTAGAGGCAACTTGCGTACAGTAGAATCTGCGTCGTGTATTTTCAGTCTTAAGTATTCAAGTGCTCTGCTATTCTAGATCTGGAAGTAAATAATGTATTATATTTATTTTCAAGTGATAGAGGATTTCGAATAATAATTTTAGCTTATTTAGAGCTATATTCTTCTTCTTTCTGTTTTGTTTCAATGATTTTTTTCCTTTAAATACGAGGCGTATTCGGAAACTAAGTACCGTTTTGAAAAAAAGAAGGGAAAAAAAAAAAAAAAAAAAAAAAAAGTAAAACAATTTTTTCGAATCCAATTTTATTTTTACATGGAAATACATGTCTTAAACTATTTTTCAACATAGTTTCCGCCAATGATCAAACACTTGTCATAGCGGGTGACCAGTTTTTGTATACCATAGTCAAAGAAACTTCCCGCCAGTTTCGATAACCACGAATCCACAGCATTTTTCGTGTCATTGTCAGATCCAAAGCGCTTGCCACCAAGCTCGAGCTTCATGTGCAGGAACAAGTGATAGTCGGACGGCGCCAAGTCCGGGCTGTACGGCGGGTGATCGAACTGCTCCCAATAAAACTGTCGAATTAACGATTGAGTAACACCAGCAGTATGGGGCCGAGCATTGTCATGGAGCAACACAATTCCTTTACTGAGCATTCCTCTTCGTTTGTTTTGAATGGCACGCCTTAGTTTTATTAAAGTCTCACAATATCGTGCCGCATTAATGGTTTCACCTCTGGGAAGAAATTCAGTAAGCAAAACGCCTTTCCTATCCCAGAAGACAGTGCACATGACTTTTTTTGTGATGACATTGTCACTTTGAACTTTTGTTTTTTCGGAGAAGGAGTGTGTCTCCACTCCATCTATTGTTGTTTCGATTCTGGTGTGAAATGACACACCCAAGTTTCATCACCTGTCACAATTTGGTTTAAAAAGTTTTCTCCCTCATCACTGTACCGCGTGAGAAATGTCAGGGCACTACCAAGTCGCTTTGATTTGTGAACATCAGTGAGCATTTTTGGAACCCATCGGGAACACAGTTTGCGATAATTCAAGCAGTCAGACACAATTTCGAACAAACAGTACGTGAAATTCATGGGTATGCCTCTGAAAGAGTTGTCATTGTGAAGCGTCTGTTCTCTTGAATTGCTTCATCAACTTTCCTTACCAAATCATCGGTGACAACAGAAGGCCGACCACTCTGAGCCTCGGCGTGGACATTTGTTCGACATGCATTAAACATTCTTACCCACTTTCTCACCATTCCATCACTTATCGCGTATTCACCGTAAACTTCTGTCACTTGACGATAAATTTCGGCCGGTTTAACATTCCTCGCGTTCAAAAATTTACTCACGGCACGAATCTCACAGTCAGCGGGAGAAGTAATTGTCTTAAACATTTTGAATGTGCACAGCAAACTGAAAACACAACATAGAGCAACCAAAATGGCGACAATTGAAAGTCAGTGAACAAGAAAGACTAGTGCGCATGCGCGGGACGCCTACCACAGCGCTGCGACGGCGCTAGAATGAAAAGGTACTTAGTTTCCGAATACGCTACGTATTACGAAGATAAATGTTTTCATACGGTAAATCTATTTTATTTGCAGGATCAAGTATGAAACTTCGAGTCTACCACAAAAGAATTTCTTTGTTATGAAATTACAAGGATGACTTCATAAAAAAATGTTAGAGCAATTTTACTAATACATAAATCTATTATTATTTCCAATTCTAAATTGCATAAACCAGAATTCACAAAGTAAAGCAGGATTTTACAAGCTAAAACAAAATACCGCTTCAAAAGATTTTTAAAAGAAACTATTCAAAGTTTTAGGAGGGAGAATATTTTCAATTTTTTCTTTTACATTTTTCTAAGACTAAACATTATTATCTTTGCAGTTAATCCAGTAACTTGGATCTCATTAGCTAAACGTTGTTCCGGTGCTAAAGAGTTTATAAACAGTTTACTACTGAAGACGTTAAAAGATGCTACTTTGGGAATTTAACGGTCATTAACAGCCACACTTACAATTAAATAATTTCAGTTTACTCAAAGCGTTACATACAAAGATCACAACCTATCAATACATGTACTAAAACTTTGAGAATCTTGTATAGTTTTGAGGTTGACATTTATTTAATTTTAGTGACAATTTTAAACCCATGCAATGCAATGTCCTTACAGAAATTGCTTTATATTACAGTTTAATTTGACTTTATTTATAATTTGTTTTATTAACCAAAATTTCGCAATTGAAAGTTTATTTGGGTTTAGTTGTGAAACGTTTTCAAGAATTGAAAGAGAGTGTAGAAATGTCGAAACATAGCAATTTTTCTAAAAGGAACCTGGATCTCCAATTAACCTCTGAATCAGCTGTGAAGCCTTTGACTATAAATTACTACAAATTGCAAGTACCAGAGAGCTGAGTAAAAAAGGAATTTAGTTATTGGCTTTAATGAGCTAGCTGTGATATTCAGTTGATTTTAACATCTATATAACGAATCACAAGCAAGAGTAACTATTACACGAAAGGCTTACGTAAATTTACTGAATGTCTGAGTTAACAAGATGTCAGAATATCAAATTTCACATCAAAAGTTTCTGAATGTTAAAGAAAATGTGGTCGGGAATCTCAATGATGGGAAATCTATTTCGTAGTTTTTACCATCACAATTTAGTGAATGCGTTTAATTTACGTTTGCCAAATACTAGAAAGCTAACCGTAAAAATTACAGCTGTTTGTACTCCAGAACTAATAGCAATAGTTTATGCTTAAATTTACCATTTTGTTCTCCCAAATAACTATCTGATTGTCAGGACGAAAACATTCATGCATAAATTACATCGAGGAAAGGACTAAATAGTTATAAAATCTTAACTGATTTTCATTAGCTTAACATTTAGAACAACTGTACACGGACTGCATGGATTCTGTTTGCTTGCCCAGTTCTAACTTTCCTTAAGATGGACAAAGATGTCTCAAGTCTGGAGCTATTTCGACTACTCGAGGACAATCCATTATTTTTCCGTAAATGAAAGGCTCCGTAGATGATGGGATTCAATACTGCCGTGGAACTACCGAAGAAAAATATGACATCGTGGAGTTCTTGCCCGAGCTGATCATCCGGATCCAGAAACACAGATATGACCATGCTGATATAGTAAGGTGTCCAACAGACAATAAAAGTCAATACGATTACTACAGTGATCCACAGAGATTTAATCTTTGCCTTGCGAAGAAGTTTGCGTCTGGAATCTTCCAGAGGTCCTCCAAATACACGAGCTTTACCTGAGAAAATAAAAAATAATTAATAATCATAAATATTATGATAATTTATTACCCAAACTCTCATTATTCTGTGTTTATTACTCTTTATATTTTATGGTATGGGAATTAAGATCTCTCATAGTTAATATCGCAATTTAGTTAGTACAGACAAAAAAGAGCCTTTCTTTCACTGTTCTCTGGTGGCCTATTGGTATTTGGATTGTTGCCAACGAAATAACTATTGATGAAATGTAACATTCAGCTAAATTAGGTTTTTATATTAATTTTGATTACCAACAGTCGTTTTTCATTAGCTCAGCATTTAGAACAACTGTACACGGACTGTGTGGATTCTGTTTTCTTGCCTAGTTCTAACTTAAAATGGACAAAGATGTCTCAAGTCTGGAGCTATTTCGACTACTCGAGGACAAGCCATCATTTTTACGTAAATGATGGGATTCAATCATGGAGGTAGGAAAGGGAGGAGGGGCCAACCCGCGCTAAAAGTGAAGCACTGCTTTGAAGCTTGGGTCACCAGATGGGGTGTTCTTTGTTTACATTCAGAAGCTCGCTTGACAAGATTCTGATAGTATTTCGACACACGACAATTCCATAGAAATCGAAAAAGGGACACTTTCGCATGAAAGAAACATTCATAGTGTGATGGATAATTGCAATTTGTATAGTTTAGTGACATTTACGCAAAAATCACATCTTGGTTATTTTTCGATAACTAACAACAGCGATTTTGATTATGAATTTGTTTTATAAAATTATAAGCTGTTGCACTACAAAAATATAGATTTTAAGAAAAATGTTATGCTTAAAGAATGAAAAATACCTTATGGTGGTACATTTAAATTGTATACGTCTTTCGATACCCTTGATAGAGTATTCGCTACTTTTATTTTATTTTCCAAACGTCAAAATGTTTTAAATAAAAAAAATTTTTTCACATCCATATATTATTGTAACATGTACCTTTTAAAATTTTTTAGAGGAGAGCCTTTATTGCTGCTCATTTTAAACTCATCGTTTTAATTTTATATATCTGAAAAATAATTACTTTGGGCTTACACGTTTTATAAATATAAAATTATGCATGGTTAAAATATTTGTAATTAGGCACATAGGTCAGATAAAGTTTTTATTAAATAGAGTAACGCATGCAAGGGCTATCTGCCTAAAGAGAGAGATGCCATCGTGGAGGAATTTTGAAGAAAAACTGACCTTTGAGTGGGTATTAAAAATAATACTTATAATTTTCATTCAAATTATATTCATATATATTTTTTATGTAAAACTTTCGGGTGTATGCTAAATTAGTGTAAATTACTTTACACGAAAATATTGTGAATGCACAGAAATTAAAGATTTGCACATGCCGGAAATGAAAAATAGGAAATATGTATGGGTATTTATGCATGTGCTTGCAAAAAGCATGTATCTTCCTTTGACAAAATACTTAAATATTCATTAAATTATTTATAAATGTATTTGAAATGAAGAATTTATTCATTATAAACAACTGTGAAAGTACTGTGAAGAAATCTAATTATTAAATGTATCTAATTTATAATGATTATAAATGTTATCTAAATATATATAACCTTAATATTGAATTATAAATATAAATTGAAATCCTGTTGAAAAATACGTTATAAAACTATTTAAGCAAGAATTTTTCGTATTGGAAAGCAATCTGTTAAATGTATTGTAAAGCAAATGCTATGAAATGCGCACTTAAGAACGTAATAAAGAGTTTTGGAATATGTATTGTTGAAATGAAGGGTAAAAAAAAATCTGATAAGTATAATTAAAAGAATTATTCCCCTTACATTTTATAATAACTCAGTTACAAGTTTTAAATAATACTTAAAAAAAAAAAAAAAAAAAAAAAACTTATTTTATTCCCTTTCAGAAATGTTCAGAGAAAGTCAAGTACTATTTAATACCTATTTAATTATTAGGGATTAGCGAAATACTTATTTAAAGTATTTCGCTAATTCCTAATAATTCTCTAACTTAAAATGAACCGAATAGAGCATTAATTATAAATTGACTTACATTTTTCGATTTAAAAGATGCATCAGAAGCCAAAAAATCATGTCATATTTAAGAAAGTAGTTTAGGAAGAAGGTCTATAAATAGAAAAGAAATAATGCATAATTTTAATATTAATAATACAATAAACTTTGATCTTAATTTTTGTACCTTAACCGAATAAAATCGAATTACCTTAATTTTTTTCTAATGTAATTAACGAAAACTTGTGAAAATATTTCATTCAAATTAAAACCATTCTGAGAAAACTGTCCTGTGAAAAGTATAGCATTTAATTCCGTTCAGAATGAAATGTTGTTTAAAAATATGTTGTTTTCACATACTTAGGACTCTGAAGTATTGTAGAAAAAGAAAATATATACATTTATATGTATATTTACGACGTAATTACAAAATATTTACATCCGAACGCGTCAAATCCCATAGAACTCAATGGTAAATGACCCAATGTTTTGGTCACCACGTAGGGATCGTCGGTGCTTCAGAGCAGGGTACGGGAGAAACTTGTTTAGGGCGACTCCATCTTACTTCCTACCTCCATGGATTCAATCTTGTCGTGGAACTGCCAAAGCAAAATATGATATGGAGTTCTTGTCCGAGATGATCATCCGAATCCAGAAACCCAGATGACATAGTAAGGTTTCCAGCAGATTACTTAATCTCCGACCTACGTCTGCTGACTATAGAAGGCGCATATTAATGTAATATACAAGAGAGAGTCGTGCTGGTTATAGTAAATTACTCACTCACTAAGTTAATTAAACTTAGTGAGTGAGCTAGTGTACAAGAAATTTGCCTAGTTAACAAAGATAATCAAACTTACTTTTTCTAGGGATTAGGTGATAAAAGTATTCAAAAAGTCTAATTCACCAACTAAGGAAGCTCTTTGCACAGTTTTAGTAGATGTAAACTAGAACACGTATTTATAGACTAAAAAAAAAATAGCGGTGGAGATTTATTAATTTCTTCTTTTCTGACATAAGTTTCTTTCCTTTTCATCCGAAATATGCAAGTTTCCTTAACACTAATCGAATATAAAATGCTTGTTAGGACTGAGTTAGGTGATAGTCCTAATCATAAAATAATTTTAACAGAATTATCCTCAAGATAATAGATTAATTCTTAGCTTTGAAGAAACAATTCGAAGAATTGTATAGATTTTCTTCTCAAAAAATTTTACTTCGCGAAAACCAAAAACAAGTATTTTATATTACGAAATAAAGAACTACGAAACTCAGCTCAGTACCTTTAAAACCTTTAACACGAAAACAGAACTAATGTCGTATAAAGACTAAAAAGTAATTATCAATTAACATAAATTGAATACAAAAAGTAAAGGTAAATAAAACGAAAAAGAAGATGAAAATTTCTTAATGAAAATCAACTTCATGTATTCAACTTAAAAATAAAATAATATATATATATATATATGCATTGATTGCATTAAGAAGAAAGGCCTTCAAGTAATAGAATGTTAATTATTCTTTTGATCTTTTCCTTCAATCATGTGTATGGCGCATCCTAACCCTTGGGGTTATGCTCCCCCCCAAAAAAAAATTCTATCATCCATCCATTTATTTTTTTCCTTCAATATGTTTCCTAGCTTTCTTACGAAATCTGTTTTTCCTTTCGCTATTTGAGAAATTAAAAGTTACAGAAAATATGAAAAAAAGTTACTTACATGTAAATGGTTGGCAATGAGGTAAGAACACTTACCAGAATCTGAAAAAGGAATGAAAAATATCAAGCTAAATAATTTTTAGGTCTAAGGCTTTAATCTACTACAATATTATTATAAAACAGATATGCCAGATAGAAATAAATTTATATAACGTATGAAAGACAGATATTACTTCACTTAATTTCTTGAATGTTAAATTTTATTTTTGAAAGCTATGAAACTAGAATGTTTTTATTTTCACACTACACCACTTATTATTAATAATATTTATATTTTAATCTCAACTGTTCATTTTCGCTTTTTTTTACTTAACAGCCTTTAAGAAAATTTGCAGTTTGGCACTAGATTCTTTTATTTCATAATGAAATTGTATTAATAGCTTATATTCCTTCTTCTGTCCCCGATTTTTATGATATGGATAATGTTATCTACGCATTTATGCCATTTTAATGAGGTTTCCTGTTTATGCGAGGTGAGTTCGGTATTTATTAGTTATTGACAAACTTAATACGCTACTGACCATTAAAATTGCAATACCATGAAGGAAAGCGAATACAAAAAAGATATTTATTGCATGTAAACAGTATGGTATGAAGACAAAAATGACTAAATTTGTAAGCCTTTTGGAGGTTTACAGGAGTGTGAAATTGGTAGGAACAGCTGCTACCCCTGGCAGCTAAAACGGCTCTCACCCATTACGGATGGAATCAAACTCGGCTTGGATGACAAAAATGGGGGAACTCATTCCATGCTTACGCACGATTCATGATTAGCACGATTAGCCTTATGCATGGTCATGTGCAACGACTCTCTTGTTTTTCCTTTTCTTTTTTTTTTCCTTCTTTTTCTTTTCTTTGTATTTATGTGTTTTATATCAATCTCGTCCGTACAAAATTTCGTTGAAATCTATCCATCAGTTTTGGGGATAACTAACTAAATCTGAAAATACTTTAAATTTTGAACACCAGTGTAAGTGATGTTCAACTCGCAATTCCGCATATTTCTTAAGTTACACGAGCCCACTGATTGGGTAGATTTCTACGTATCTTTATAAAATGCCACCAAGCAACAAACGCTTTGATACTTGATTGCTACTGGAAGAAACAGATGCGTCTGCCTTGGAGTGAAAGGGATGCATTTGTCTGTTGAAACATGTTTTTAATTATAAAGACGAACTGTGCAGTACGTTAGGTTTGCTTTATCAAGATTCTGAGAATTATAAACTTATCAGGTAACCAAGAAATTTCGTGCCGTTTTCGTCACTCATCAAAAACGGTCCACAAAAATCTTAAACACCCATTCCATTCTTCTAAATCACTATTGGCTTCAATTTCATGTTTCCCACGAGACATAGGCTTAGCCCTTTATGAAGAAATCCTCTTCCTGGAGGCCAAAAATTGAGATACAGCTTTTGTGACATAATCGCGTTTACGGAACTGTTGTTCCCGCAAGTGGTTATTGCATGGTCAAAAAATGGGTAATAGTCAGATGGGGTGGAATAGGGTGGCTGAGACTGAACTTGCCAGACAGTGTTTTGATCACATCTTTGGTCGTTTTTGCCGTATGAGGTCTGGCATTATCGTGGAGGAGGAGAACTCCTTTTTTGTTGACCAGTGCTGGCTGCTTCTGATGCAGTGCAGCTGAAACTCTTTACAGTTTTGACGAGTAGACCTCAGCTGTTATGGGTTTTTTTACGCTTTCTAAATATTCATAGTGGAATATGCTAGCGATGTTCCAGTAAACAGAAAGCATTACCTTTTTTTAATGAATGTGCAGTTTAGCGGCCGATGAGACTGAACCAGAAGTCAACCAATGATATTTCCTCTTTCGGTTATCATATATGATCCATTTTTCGTCACATGTCAAGATTTGGTTCAGAAGTAAGTCTTTATTACGGCGCGGCAGGAAAGACCATTGCAGATGTTCAACCGTTGGAGTTTGTTCTCCTCGGACATGAACAACCCACTTGCTTAGTTACATGTCATCCCAAGGTTATGAAGATGTGATCGAATGGGTTCATCAGATACTTCAAATCTGTGTGCAAGGTTTCTGGCAGGTTTAATGAAGATGAGTAATGCTTGATTTTCTCCTCCAGATGGACTTCGTCGAGGGTGGATGGACGACCAATACGAGGTTTGTCACCAAGGCTCTCGTCCAGTAGAAAATCGGCTGAACCACTTTCGAGCAGTCTGTTCACTCACTGTCTGTCTAAATACGGAGCATATTCTTTTAACGGCCTCTCAGCTCTGTTTCCTAATATGTACCCGTAAAGCAAAATCGGCCTCAAACCTCCTTTTCCAAAGACATGTTCTTTGACTTCCTACAAAGCCAATAACGAAACGTGCGAAGTACTGAACCACTCTGTACGGAATAAGGTTTGAAAGGAATGTAAACATATGATGTCATCAGAATCAATTTGTCCACACTAACGCACCAAAAGTAACTGTTCTCAAAAACCGAACAAACTTTCTTAGGTAGTTACCTGGTAGATACCTGGGTAGATATATACCTGGTACCTGGTATATATCTACCCAGGTATCCACCAGGTACCAGGTACCTACCCAGTTACCTGGTTGGTTACCTGGGTAGATATATTTCTAGCACTATTTTCGGGTCTGTGGAGGGGGGCTATGGAATCTACGAAAAATGAAAAAGTATTGCTGAATTTTTCCTGAAAAGGTCATTGTTGTTAATTCCAAAAATGCTACTTTTGAAGATGGAAAATGACTTTATATCATCATTAAATTTACATAGCTGAATACTACATTTAGGCTTATGGGGTTAAAAAAGTATTAAAATAGTTTTAATCGAGAACTTTACTTGCACTTAAAACTTTATGGAAGGATGATATGATATTTAAACTTTATAAAAAGGCAGTAAAACTCTATCACACATAAAATTGGGAGAAAAAGATGTGTATAAAATATTCGGTAAAAAAAATAAAGAATTTTATTAATTAGAAAACAGTTAATTAAAAGTAGTTCATACTTTGAAGCTCAAAGCTTCACGATGCTTATTTAAAATAATTCATATGAGTTTACCTTTTCAATGAAACATGCATTTCACTGGAATGCCGAATACATTTAAATTTACATAGATAGCATATCCTCCTTTATTTTCTTTCTGAAAAAGTCCACGTATTCCTCTTTTCTTTTCACTGAATCCTTGTATATTTTTTTTAATATATATTAAAATTCTTTTTAAAATTAATCATTTTCGAATTTGATGAAACGGATTTTTAGTTGCAGATTTTTCATTTATATAATTTTGAGTAAGTTTAGTGTTTTCCCCCCCGAGAAAACATTGCTTATTCTCTTCTTCGAAATGCGTAGAAGCTTCTCCTTTAAAATTATCTACGGATTTATATATAAAAAAGTAAAGTTTTATGCCTCTAAAAAAACCCTTTCACAATGTGACGATTTCCGGTTCTCAAGGCAGATAACTTTATTCGTTACACCATCTCTATCCAAACAGTCTTTAATAACTTGCAGTAGTTGGAATGATTCAATTTATATCAATTAAAATTCTTTATAAAGGTATACGCTAGGTCATTTAAATATTTGCGCAATTTACGAACATATACTTACTAACAATAGTAGCAAATGTTGTGGCGTATGTTGCGATGAGGATACACAGAGGCACAATAAACATGCAAAAGAGGCTGATGGATGTATACAGCTGTTCTTGCCATGCTGCTGTGTAGAAGCCATATGTCACGCACTGGTAGAATTCTTCCAGGAAAGGACCCTTAGCCACTCTGAAGATAACTGCCTGGAAGGACAGGTAAGAGAAGGATTTATTCATACTTCATAAAGAATTTTTTAGGATCATGATATCTTAATCTGCATTAAATGTTTACAGTACTGAAGAGCTTTCGTTAGGGGTTCAAAAGTAAAAAAATTATAAATGGTCGAAGGAAATGAGGCTGTGTATCTTGTAATGTTCCTCAGTACTTTGTCTAGATATGATGTCGAGGAACCTAGTGAACTAAGTACGCTGAGTTCAAGTAGTTACTACAGAGACTTGAGAAGGTTTAAAATACCCTTTTATTCAGTCAAAGAAATAATATCAGATGGCTCCTCCTCGGGATTACAGGAAAGCCTCCACTTGGGCTTTTAAATGAGGATAAGAAAATGAGAAACTAATCTAATACTAAACTAAATAGTCGAAGCTAGACACAAATCCCTGTAGTTGGTCCTTAAGTTAACATGGCCGGCGATTCTCAACAGCCACATACAATACGGCCGAGAGTTAAGAACGAAGTAGCCAGAAGACAAAAACGCACTAATAAAGGACTCCTAAGCATTCTTTCTTGAAAAATATAAGTCGAACTTTCTACTTCTTCTACCTCATTTGCATAAAACGCAATACAAAAAACTCATTTAGGTAGGGAATAGTCTCTGGGAAACGAGAGTAGACAGTAAAGCGTGTTTGAACTTAAAATAACTGTTAGAAACGTAAAGTAACCGCTACAATCTAAGCCAATCTAAGCATATATTAATATTAATGCAATGCCAAAATAATTCATTAACTTACCAGCACAAGAAATAACATTGACAAAGCACCATTTCAATTAGCTTCTATATACAAATATCTATAATTTAGTAACGGTACAACACTTCTGAAATTATATTAATTATGTATTTATGTATAACACAGCCTACACGAATACATTTCCAGCTAAACAATTGGATCTTAACTCAATCTAAGCACTAAAAAACAAATGTATCTTTCGAAGATTAGATCTGTTGCATTATACGGGGTGAGTAAAGATCTATAAAATTGTATGTCTGTTACATAGGGGGAGTAAAGGTCTAATAAAGGTCTTTCCCTGAGTCTAAAAATTTTATATGGAATAACCGGGAAAGATAAATGTATCCAATTTTTATCACTAAATAGACTTATTACCATAGGTTATCTTTTACGACGCAGCAGACTGGAAGCATAGAAGGAATAGATAATTAGAAACGATGTCTGTGAAAGAAATAGCTTGTGTGTGTTTCGCAGTATCATGAAACTAAAATCGCCCATCAACGGCGCTTTAGCTTTAGAAACTTATACGGACGCAATCCTTCGGGTATTAAAATTATCTGACATTAGTGTTAAAAGTTTTAAAGAAACTGAGAAACTGGTATCGACTCAGCTTTTCATCCTTTGATTTCTATCACTTGGGTCGCTAAAATGAGTACCAAGTTCGCTTGGTACTCATTTTGGGTACCAAGCGAACTTGGTACTCATTTTATCGCTTGGGGACTAAACATAACTTGGGGACTAAACACTGGGAATCCTTCATAAAATGACCACGTGTTCAGGGCATATGCTTACGGACCCCGGTGCCCACGGTCAAGAAAGCAGATTTCGGGCACTGCAATCAGAAACGTGACTTTGTTGAAAATTCTTCTGCTGCCGTTCTTCCAATTAGACTGATTACCACCAGTTTTAATTTAGTTATGATTTCTTGATTATATATATGTAAAATATTTTGTGACAAAATATCTCATTCTTCTGAAACTTCATTACGCAACCGAAAGCTGATATGAAACTTAATCAGGTTATTAGATTTAGACATGTAATTTTGATATTCTTAAATGCATAAAATATGCAGCATAAGTGTTCATATCCCGTAGTTTTGAAATTAAAGAAAATTTAATTTTAAATTAACGGCGATTTTATGAAATAACTTTATGCATTTCAAAAGAATGTAACGAAGTTTTCTTCTTCAGAGAGGCGTCAAAACAAGTTAAGACATGTAAAGCCTAGAATTGAGCATTGGGATTTTGCTGGAAATCGTAAAGAAGAAGTTCTTTTGACTCGCCTCAGAATTGGTCACACAGAAGTGACACATGGCTACCTTTTAAAAGCAGAGAATGAGCCTGTTTGTTAAAATTGTAATGTTTGTCTATCCGTCATACTTTAATTGAGTGTCCATATTTTAATAACCTTCGTCAGAAGTATTTTAATAGCTGTGACTTACCTCTCGACCGTTTAATCGGAAGGGAGGTGAATTGTAATTTATTTTATTATTTAAAAGAGACTGGCTTTTATCACCTAATGTAATTTGTTTTGAAAATTGTGTCTTGAATTTTAAATGTGTGGTTTTAACTTGTTTTTATATGACTTCATCCTCTGGATTTGATGCATTTGTCTACTTGTTTTTATTTATTGTATTTTAATTTCATCAATTGTACTCACTCCATCTCGCGTTTGGCGCACTATAATCAACTTTGGTTTTGCGCCATAATCTCTCACTCACTCACTCACTCACTCACTCTTCTTCAGAGAGTAAAAACATTTTGAAGAAAATATATGAAAGGAAGTAAAACTTTTGACGCCATAACTGAATATTACAGAAAGAAATCAAATTCGGAGCAGAGGATTTTTCTGGCTTTGATTATGTTCTAAAGTTATTTGAATTAAGAGCTATTTTTCCTAATAACTTTTATTAGGCAGATAGCCCTAGTGTGCTTTGCCATAATTAAATAAACCAAACCAAACCTAATAACTTTGAACAAACAAACACTTGCGAAGCAGTTCCATTTGCGAGAGAAAACAAGGGAAAGGGGGAAAAATCACTTTATTTTCATTTACTGCGTGATGATGCCACTTAATTTAACTGAAAGTCCTTCTACTTGATACTTGAACTGAATTTTTTTAAACGTTGCTCCGAAAATTGATTTACGTAGAAGTACTGTTTTTGTATTTTGCAAATCTGTATTTTGTTTTTCTATAGCAAAAGATAAACATAAAAAGAAAGCTTTTACTTTCCATTTTTCAAACAGTAATGGAAAACATTACATAAGCTCTATTAAGTTTACTATGGCTGTTCACTTACCAGCACCTCAGTATCTGAACCGTGTATCTTAAGATACTGCGAAATTTCCCCAGAGGTTCATTGAAATTGCAAGAATCTTCTTCAGGGAGTACGGTAAGATGTCGCTTAAATAATATTAATTCTACCCAAGGTTACTTTACTACAAGGTTTGCTCTTCCCGACCAGAAATCTTTGAGCGTGTAACGTCATTGACGCGTAATCTGCTCACTTGGGGAATTAAATGTAATTGTATCTTCGTTTCTCTCACTTCTGTAAGTTAAGTGACTCGAGCGTTGGAAAGAACACAACCTCGTATATTTAATAACCTTGATTCTACCTACCTGTACGTGCAGGAAGATGAAATCTCATTTTAATTCCAAGTCAGCTTTTCTACCGGAAATTCGTTGTGTTGAACTTAAAACGAATAAAATGGAAGCAGAAAGAAATTTCAAGAAAAATTAAGTTGAAACTAATCACTTTTCCCCGTCTCCCAAGAAAGTTGCTAAAAAGCATTTTAGATGTGATATACGGAAAGGGTACTTACGTATTATCGCAACCAAGTTGGCGCTATTTGTAAGTTTGAGTAAAAAAGTATGAATAGAAAGAAAATGTACATTTATTAATTACAGATAATTTTTAATACAGTTTTTTATATTATTTTGTTTTAAAATATAAAATAGTAATTAAACCCTTCCGGTTTCGAATTTGAATAAGTTGCAGAATTATTTTTTAGGCGGAAATCTTTTGGCTATTGCTTTTAGCACTGATTGAAAACCGTATTGGCCATATCCAGGTACACGTCGACTTATTTTTACTTAAAAAAACATCCCAGAATTGCACAAATATGGCATTGCACACACTCTTGACTTTATCCATGTACACTGCTATTTTCTCATAAATTACAAAAATTTGCACGAAAATGCACGAAAATTTTGTGAATCTCTACATGCTCTTTTTACAAAACTACGTATAACACGTAGGGTTGCCGTAAGTAGGGTCGCCAAATTTGACAGTTTATGCGGATTTTGGCCTGGTTGCGTTAATACGTAAGTACCACGGAAAGTTTTATAGAAACTAATGATTTTTTATTAACTTTTATTTGAACAACTGCAAAACTAATTCATTAGGTTGAAAGGTATATTTAATTTTATAACAGTTACTTTAATTTAATTTTGCTTTGCTAGCGTTCCTTGTTTCAGATCACAATTCCCTACTAGAATGAGGGCTTTGCCAACTGTTAATCTTATTTTAAGCAAATAAAGGGTAACTAACCCTTCTTGAGTTTACGTTTCTTTTGTTGGACCTAAGCGATTATTCGATTAGTAGTTCACTAGGTTCCTCGACACTTAATTTGATAGAATACAAGAGGAACTCTATAATGTTATGTACAGAATCTATTGCACATTTCCTATCTTTACAGTTTTTAAATGCTCAAAATTTCATAAACTGTTCCCAAAGGCTCTAATGAACGCATTGTTCTATTTCCTTGGCTGGTCTATTATTACAGTTTGATTTCGTTGGCTGTGTTCTGTATGAAATTCTACTCTACACATTGGACGATTTGATTTTTGAGCTGAATCCTGTCATCAATGGTTCGGAACTTAATTATGAAGGATAGCTTTGCTTGTTGGTTGCCGCTACAGTCATCAGCACTTACGGTATTAGGCTTTATAGTGATACCTTTACGTTTATTGTTGCGGTGTTGAAAGTGTGACTTCCTAATCTGGTGTGACACACACTCCCCACACACTCGATCGTCAGCAGAAAGAAAGCCAAAAAGACTTAGACTCTATAATTGACCGAGCTATTGCGAAGAGCAATGTTGCCAGTTCCAGAATTAAAGCCCAAGGGCACTTGACATAAAGAAATCCGGACGTGGAGAAAATCTCAGATGAGAAAACGGAGATAAGGGTAAGAAGAGAAGTACCAAAAGAAGCAAGACAACCCAATCGGACAAGTT